TCTCAGAGTCACATTCATTCAGGTCATGTGCCTTTACCCACTGAGCTATCTAGTCGACCTAATAAATAATTATAAAGACTTTCTCACCAGAGCTCTGTCACTAGTTAGACGGGCTAGCTGCAGTGGGGCATTTAACTTAACTCCTGTTTGTCTATGAGAAAGCTGGAGAGATGGCTGCCTTGTTTGAGCCGAGTTTGAATGATACAGTGTTTCCATGGTGCTTCTGCTTCCACATTTTCTTTTCACAAAGTCCAGGACTTTGTTTTGTCTGCTGTTGTGTTCCTAGAGTTTGACACACTGTGCTTAGAACATGTAAAATGTTCAGACATGCTTGCCAGATGACAGAAATAAATGAAAGCCCACACTTGGATCAGTGTTCAGAATGCAGTAGTACCAAAGAAATTTTAATCGCATCCTTGAAGTCAGGCTTAAGCGTCTCATTCTGTCAATGTGTAAAGCTGGAGATCTGCCTGCTCACTAATTCCTGGGGTGTTAAGTGCCTTTGTGTCCTCTTTCCAGCACTGTATCACAGGGAACAGTGGCAGTAGGAGCGGTCCCTGTGCCACCGGTGAACTAGCCGCAGCATCAGTACACCAGGAGTCTCAGTCTGCAGCTGCCTCAGGTAGTTGACCAGGAAAATCAGCTTTTCACACTGTTACCAGGTCACGTTGTCCAAGGCCTTCTAGCTTGGACACAAATGAATAAAGAAAGTTTGGGGGTTTTCCCCTTTCTTTTTGTAGGCTTTCTTGGGGAGCAGGCTTATATTTGACAAAACTGACATTGGTATAACTGTTACAGTCACCACTTAGACTATTTCTATTGCTCTAGAAAGTTCTTCTGTAGCCATTTACAGTCTGTGTTGGTGACTTTTGTCATTGCTGTGACAGAATGTCTGCTGAGGCAACTGAGATGAGGAAGGATTTGTTTTGGCTCATGGTTCACAGGGTCCAGTCCATCCTGACAGGGAAGGAATGGACGAGAGAGCATCTTGGTCTGAAGTGGAGGACCCTTGGCACAGCAGACAGGAATCACAGTGCTCTTAGACAGGAATCACAGTGCTCTTAGACCTCCTGGATTGCGGCCAAGTTACAACCTTCAGAATCCTACACACACACACACACGCACACCACACCACACATACACATACACACACCCACCACACCACACACACACACACACACACACACAAACCACACCACGCCACACCACACCTACATACACGCACACCACACCACACATACACACACACACACACAAACCACACCACGCCACACCACACCTACATACACCACATCACACACACACCACACACACCACATCACACACACACAAACCACACCACGCCACACATACACACATACTCACACACACACACTCACACTCACACACACATGCACACGCACGCACGCACACACACACACACACATGCAGTGACCTACCTCATATGCTCTGCCTGCAAAGGTTATGCTGCACACGCACGCACGCACACACACGCACACACATGCAGTGACCTACCTCATATGCTCTGCCTGCAAAGGTTATGCTACTTCCCAGAACAGCGCCACAAGCTGGGGACCGAGTGCTCACACTGTGCCTATGAGGGAGTTTTACATTCAAACTGGCAGTCGACCTCTGCCCTGGTCCTCTGCCCTGCTGTGCTGATAGTGTGCCGTCTGCCACTTCAGCTCCTGTAGTTTTAACTGAGTAAGACAGCGTGAAGGCTTTCTGTGTTGAGTCTCAGAATAATGCTGTTGGGGCTCATCTTACTGTATGTACTGGTAGTCCGCTCCTTTCCGTTGCTCAAGGGGATTACATTGTATGGATGGTCATGGGGCTGTTTCTGACCTGGGTTAATGTCTTCCAAAACTGCCACTGCTGGGTGGGCACGTAGTTGTCAAAGTTTGAATTCTTTGGCAAATAAATTTCTGACAGGTGTTTTCCACGTTGCTGATCTTTGGCAGGAAGCAGTGCCAGCAGTATGTACTTCAGTAGCAGCGACTATTCTGAATTTTCTGAAAATGGACAGAAGTCCCAGGATAGACAGAGAGATGAAGCCTTTCCCGGGGTGGCGGAAGAGTCCATCTGGAGAATGATAGAACAAACACCAGAGTGTGTTCTCATGACATACCAGGTGCCCAAGAGGTACGACAAGACTTCTGTATGTTTGGGGATTGATTTTTGCAATTCAAAGCACTTTCTGTTACAGTTCTGTTTATTCTGATGTGTGTACACGTGTGAGTGTACCATGGTCCACATGTGGAAGCCTGGTCTCTGCCTACCGTGTATGTCCCAGGGATCGCCAGTATTAGGCTTGGTGAAAGGGAAGACCTTCGCTGCTGTGGTGTACGTGCAGACGTCAGAGCACAGCACCAGGCAGCATACTTGGCCAGAAGTGCCCTTTCCTTCTGAGCCATCTCAGTGGCTATTTGGGGGGTGGAGGGGTGTTCTAATATGATTTTCAGTAGGAGGTGATTTTAAAATGTTTTGTACACAGCCATAGAAAAAATGTGCTTACTAATGTATTCATTTAAATTCAAGCACCAAGTGATTCTTGAAGGAAGGATTTGCAATTGCCATGTGCAGATCCTTACAGAGCAAACAGGCTATTCACCCAAACCACAAGAGACAAGAGCAATGGGCTGTGCTTCCAGGGCACACATGTTCAAGAAGTTTCCCTTTGGCCCTGGCAGAGGGAGGGCTGAGGGAAATGAATTTCTTGGTATGCTTCATTTAAGCATCACACATTGTTTCCCACCAAGAAGCAGAGGTGCGCTGTGTCAGTGTGGCAGATAATTCAGTTATGTCACAAGTCAGCAGATGAGCGCATGGCACTGGGAGAGAAGGCTGTTCTCAGGGGCCTTTGCTGTGTGTAGGGGAAGGGAAGAGGTGCTGAGAGAAGACCTGGAGAAGCTGAGCAGCATGGAGCAGCAGCAGCCCCAGTTCTCCCCTGCACAGAAGGAGGAGCTGGCCAAGGTGCGCTCCTGGATCCACAGCCAGACCGCCCCTCAAGGAAGACACCTCCAAGTAAGCATGCAATCCCTCAGACAGCGACAGGTCTGTGCCAGGTGACAAGCGCTCTTCATCTTCACAGTCACCTCTGTGTCTTAACTACAGACCGTGTACGTGTGAAATAATTAGTACAGTGTGTACAGGTCTCTTTAACACTGTTGGTGAAGTTACTTAAAGAGGCATAAACAAACGTCTATTCACCCCAGGAAGGGCACAACACAGACCATAGTACTGTTACAGTAAAGGCCGACCTAGAGACCAGAGAGTGTTGACTGAGCATGGTGACCCCCAAACAGCCACCTCACCAGAACCATCTCGTTCCAGTATGAATGGTAACTTCATTGCTGTGGACCCCTCCCTCCATCTCCTTCAGCAGCCCCCACCCCACCCGTCAGTGCCTTCTGCGTTCTAGACTCTCATGGCCTCCTTACAGCACGGGACACCTGGGTGGCACGAAGTAGAACTGGGAAGAAAGAGGCTGGGTTCTCAAGTGGGGGTCTCATGACTCTCCCTACCCCTTTCTTCTGTGAGGAAATATCAGCAGCCCTGTCTAAAGAGGCTGCTCACTCCCCCATGAGTGGTCACAGTTCATTCCTGACGCTCGTCAGACAGCAATGTCACAACCATGATAAAATGGTTCTCTTCTACCCGCCGGATTGTTAGTGGTGAGGACACTACCCTGAAGTATGAGCCTCTGAGAGAGCCATCAGCGGTACAAGGTTCACACATCCATCCCTGTTTGAAAGTTTAAATTGCAAGTACAAGAGAGGCCCACACTGCAGGGAGTTATCTCACCCTGCAGGAACACTCTTCCTCTGGAGCTCCATAACTATTTTTTTTTTCCATCGTCGGTGCCCTGAGGGCCCCAAACACAAACCCTAGTCATTTTTCTGCATTAATCTCTTCAATTCTATGATGGACTGGCAAGCCAGGGTTGCCGTATCGTATGGCTTTCTGTCACCACCCTTCTGAGGCCCCTTTGCCAGCCCCTTTCTTTGTGTTTTTCGCTTGTTTCATGTGTGGGGGTATTTTGCCTGCATATGTCTGTGCACTTATGTGCATGCCTGGTGCCCTCAGAGGGCAGTCGAGGGCACCAGATCCTCTAGAACTGAAGTTGGGGTGTTTGTAAGCTGACCTGCGTGCTGGGCGTTTCACCATGCTCCTCTGCAACTGCAGCCAGCGCTCTTAACCCCTGAGCCATCTCTCCAGCCCTCCCCTGAATCCAGCGTTTCTTACACTGCAGGCATGGTGAGATCATGCCCCCTTGCCCGGCCTTCGTTTTCTTGGACTGTCTTGATACCTCCCTTACTTTTTAAGGAGTTTTGCCAGATAAAGGATTCTTAGTTGAAGGGTTTTTTTTTTTTTTTTCTTTAAGCACTTCAGCTAAATCAGCTTACTGCCATCTGGCCTCCAAGGTTTCTTCCGAGGCACCTACTGATAATCTTGCTTAGAATCCCGTGCATGCTGCGTGTGTGCGTGCTGTGTGTGTCCACTGTTTGGTTATAATGCGTCTGGGTGTGTGCCTCTGAGCTGATGGAGGCCATTGAGCTTCTGGGATGCTGTGTTCGTGCCTTCACGGAACTTGGAAGATTTTCAGCCCTTTTGTTTTCCAGTACATCCTTTTCCTTCCTTTCCCGCCCTCTGGTTCCTCTGATGGCTGGGTAGTCAGTCCTCTTGGACCACATAAGCTGTAAGTGCTGCTCACTCAGTCTGTCTTTTTCCTTCATGACAACTGTCCATTATCTCCACGATCTCAGTTCTCACTTCCCCCAAATTTCCCTTTGGATTCCTCCAGTGAGGTTTTGTTGTTGTTTGTTTGTATTTATCGGTTTTGTCTTTCTAGTGTACAGGATTTCTTGTTGGTTTCCTTGTAGGTGTCCTTACCTCATTGATGCTTTCGTTTGGTTCATCTGTTTCTTCCTCTGCCTTGTGTTTGAGTTAGCTTTCTGTTGTTGTGATAGAAACACCATAACCAAAGAGGAAAGGATCTGTTTTACCTCACAGATTATGCAGTCTACAAGGGAAGTTGGGGCAGGAACTCAAGGCAAGGCAGAGCCCACAGAGGAACACTACTTACTGGGTTGCTCCACATGGCTTGCTCAGTCTTTCTTATAGAACCTGGGACCACCTGCCAGGGGCGGCACTGCCCACAGTGAGCTGTGCCCTCTCGTGTCAACCATTAACTAAGAGTGCAGCACAGACTTGCCTGAGGCCAGTCTGATGGAGGCATTTTCTCAATTGAGTTTCTCTCTTCCCAGGTATGTCTAGGTTTGTGTCAGGTTGTCATCTTTAGACAACATTAGCATCACATAACACACTTGCTTTGTTCTCTTTTGGAGAATTGTGTCGCCTGTGAAGACAGAGGTTCAGCTGGTAACACTGCTGAGGCCCACGAACAGCACCCAGGAGAAGACACCAGTTGAGCAACTGTGAAGATGTCTGTTCACACCTTTTCCAGGTCATGTGAGACACAGAGATGTCTGTGTTGCTTCACTAAACTCTAACTCTTAAATGGCAAATTACTAACATTAAGCTTTTCCCTTGCTTTTGTTTGTTTTGGTTTTGGTAGCACTGGGGATCAAACCCAGGGCCTTGTGCACTCGAGTCTGGAGCTCTCTCTCCTGCTGACCTGTGCCCCAGCCCTCCCTTCCTGGTCTTTAGTAGCTGACATTTCCCAAAGCAGGCATTTGCAGAGTTTCCAGTTCCTGATATTAAAACGGCCATTGAGAAACCTTCTCTAGCTTAACTGTCTCTGACAGCAGCAGATTGCCTCTGAAGAGGTATCTGTCTGTAACACTTGATTTCAGAAATCACTCTGAATAAGTTACAGTTCGAATGAATCCCAAGCCTTAGTCTCATTTGTTTTGTTCTGTTGTTGCAGAATCATTTTCCCATTAGAATACTTGAATTCTGTCTACAGGTTTGTGTAGTTCACAAGATGTTTTCCATGAATTTGACATATTGATCTAGGCTTTGTACAGCCTGGTGCTTTCCTTCCTGAATATGATAGGACATTCCACCTTTCTCCGAAAATATTAGAGTGCACTGTTCTCTAGGAAATGTGGGAATCGTGGTTCTGGTTGTTTGCCCGGTTCTTGTCCAGGCACTTCCTGTTGGTGTCGGTCCTCACGGAAACTCCTTCCATAAGATCTGTCTGCTTGAACGGGGCTTACTCTGGAGAGTTGAAGTTAAGCCATGCATGTTAAAAGAGCTGCTGACTTGGCCAATAGTATTTTTTAAAGGTTTTCTTTGTTGTAAAATAAATGTGAAAAGGTTTTAAAATGATGTCATTGTTATTCTGGACATGTATGTGCTTAAGTGCTCAGTCTAACAGTTGACTACACAGGGGTCTCCATGCCGACCAGAGCCTGATTGGCACTACCTTCTGTTTGCCCTTGAACAGGGTAAGTGTTTGGGGCCTGCAGAGTGAGAAACCACACTTAGGGGAGCTCGGTGGCCCCAGCCTTGGGGAAGTGAGTGGTGTGACTGTTAACCTGTATCCACTCATTGTCCTGTTTACCTGGGTGTCCACTCACAGTCCGGTGCTCTAGATTAGAGACTCCCGAATCCCTTCATCAACCACAGATGGCTGTGGAATCCACCCTGTGCAGCTCCGAGGATGGAACTGAAGGAACAGAAGTCTGCAGTGGCCTTTCGTGCACAGTACTTCCAGCAGCCAACATGCGTTTCTTTTCTGTTGCTTTGTTTTGTTTTAGGAAAACACTTTTCTCCCTGACAGTTTATAGATGTTGATAAATGTCCTGTCATTCTGGTCAGGAGACGGTCATGATGACCATTGGCCCAGGGCTCCAACTCTGTGGCTTAGACCTCTTTTCTAAAATAATGGTTTTTCTGCATGGCAGTCCTGTCAGAAGGTGTCAAAAGCATTCTCAAGTGCTGCCTATGACATTCTTAGAATTTTCTGGTATTACACAGTTCCACACAAATGTTCCTGCTGTGTGAACAGAGACTTCTCCTCCATCCTGGTAGTTAAATGATGTCACAGGGAGGCCTGCGTTGGTCAGGCTGGCCTTCTCAGTGACTCAGGGATCATTCTGCATCCGTGCATACATGCACCAGATATGATGTTCTCTGGGCAAACAGGCCCTTTCCTGTCTGTCCTGGGCACTTGTTTATCTACAGCTTCTCCTTTCTTTGCCTTCGACACATCTTATGGACTATGTATGTATTATCCAGGCTTGATGGAAACTGGTGCTTGTAGTCAGGTCTGTAAAGCCTTTAACCAAGTTTCCCCTCCACTAGGGATGTCGTCAGTGCACTCAGATCCAGCCCCTGCTGCTGAGGTGTCCAGCAGAACTGGCTGCCCCCCGTGGGGGCCATACCCTGTGGAGACTCTGTTGTTCAAACTTACTTTTTGTATTAATAACTATTGAACTGGTAACAAAAGTATGTATTGTAGACTTCAGTGTTTACATGACTCTTTCCCCCAAAGCTTTATTTTCTTGGGTCACATGTCAGAATTTAAGAAAACAAGATGTTGTGTGAATGGATTAAATGAAACATCATTATAATTTACAAGATGGTATTTTAATCAGATTGGCAATTTGTTTATAGTTGTGAATTTGCTTGTACTTAATGGTTATTAATCTTTTGATTGGGTATCTTTTTGGAGTAAAAACAATAAAGAGTATATGTGTAAAAGTGGAAAATGCCCTTGATTGTGTAAGCAAACCTTGAGCATGTGTGGTGTCTGCCAGAGCTGCTTCCAACTGCATGAAGGTCCCCATGTCAGCTCAGCATCACTTTCACAACAAGTGTTTGCTGCATAAATGTATCTCCGTTCCTACTCTGGGAGAAAGAGGTACTTTCCAGTGTGTTCAGTCCACATTTGAGCCCTGAGAAGTCGTCACTGGGCCCCGGATGTTTCTGTGTGTATACACGTGTATAATGCTATCAGGCCAATTTAGTAAAATTATCAGCATTATTCCTGAAGCTTCTGTAGGGTGAGCTTGTATCTTACAGTCTGATTGTTACTTAAAGCAGCCAAATCTAGACATCAAAATATGGACCCCGGAGTCAGCAAGGCTTTAAGTCTCATACCCTTTCAGTTATTTGTTCCTTTCTCTGGTGACAACAGCAAAACACAGAGCCAGTGTTTACAGTGGCTGCCTCTGACCAGCCTGTGGAAGTGCTCTGGAGCATCTCCCCCTCATGGCAGCCCACAGTGGCTGTTATTCTCACTGTGCAGGGTAGGCTACCGAGGCAGCGGAGGACGCACAGCTGATAGGATGAGCCTAGGGATCTATCATGAGAATCACCCCAAGTCACTACACCTAGTGATGGTGTTAGATTATACTAATACACTAGAATCCATTTAGGCTTTTGGGGGTTGACAATAGGGAGCTAGAGCTAGTTTGATTTATTGTTGTTGTTGTTTGGTTGGTTTGGTTATTCAAGACAGGGTTTCCCTGTATAGTTTTGGAGCCTCTCCTGGCATTCGCTCTGTATGCCAGGCTGGCCTCGAACTCACAGAGATCCACCTGCCTCTGCCTCCCAAGTGCTGGGATTAAAGGTGTGCGCCAGTTTGATTCTTACACTGAAGAAGCATAATTCTCATAGCCAGACTTGATGTCAGAATGCTTGAGTTTACATTGCCTGCTTCCCTTCCAAGCTGTCATTGGGTCTACATTAGGAAAAAAGCTTTATCAGAGCTGTGTTTGAAGGCATTGCTGATGTTTGCTGACAAAGGTGAGTAGGGGTCACGTAGTGTCTCTTGGTTGGTGCAGATCTATTGCTCAACTGAGGGTTTCAGTGGAATGGCTGGTCTCATGCGGGGATGTTTGCTTCTTTGGAAAACTTAGTGCTCCCAGCCTGTGGTTCTGTGGGCAGTCACAGGGCTTGTGGCACCCAGACAAGATGTCTGGTCATCCACAGGCTGTCACAATTGTACCTGGGATGCTAGTGTGTTTACACATACGTGGATCTTAAAGATTAATAACCTGCTGATTGCATTGCACAGCCTGAATCCCTGCACCAGCTCTCAGAACACAGGGTTAGTAGCTGAAGGGAAGTGAGTTTCCATTACTTTGTGTGAGTTGGTCATGACCTTAACTCACAGAGGTTGAGCGCAGTGCTTAGTACTGTGACCTACTAAGAGCAAGAATCAGCACCCAGCCTTCCCCAAAGGAAACAGTTCAGACCATCCCCCAGCCCTCACTGCCAGGCACCTTTGTGTTGGAGCTTTTCAAGCTAAGGGACTTCTCCTTCCTGGGAAGGAGTAACCCTGCAGAGTGCTCATCCTCAGCGCTACAGGAAGTGGAGTGCTCTCATGCCTACTACTCAGGTACTCAGGACTTGGGGGCAGGAGAATCAGGAGTTTGAGGTCATTGCTGGCTACATACTGAGTTCAGGGCCAGCCTAGGATACAAGACCCTGTATCCCCCACCCCCAAACAAAACAAACAGAATCTATATATTCATTTTTAAGGGTTGAGAAGATGTCATAACAAAGTAATTTGTTTTTACATCATTTGTGACTTGAGAGACTTAGATAAATCTTTGTGCCTTTCTCTTGTTACTCTGTGCTGTGCTTCTGCTCATTTATTACTTTACTTAAGACATTTCGTAGTGCCTAGGATGGAACAGAGTTCACGTGGTTAGGCAAGCTCTCTGCCCCTGAGTTAAACCTCCACCCCAACCTGTAGATTTCCAGGAAATACTAAGGATAATGGGGGGAGGGACAGGTCAAAGATTTTCAGGATGTAAATATATAAGTAAACGTGACCACGTGTGATACTTGTGAAACATAGAGGATTTATTTCTCATAATAGTGAAGGGTGGGGTGTAGTTAGCCTGATTTCTCTTCAGGCATCTTCGTTTTTAATTTTCTAAAGTGGTGGTTCTGAGGAGACGAATCCGTGCTCGTATCTCTTCAAATGCAGTATTTCCAGAAGCATTCTGAGACAGCCCCATGCTGCTTATGTTGTTTCCTGGTTCTTGCCAGAAGACGACTCAGCACAGTGTTGGAGTGTTGTCCAGAGAAAGCCTGAGCCCTGAAGTCCTGAACAATAGATAAATAATCCTAAGGTCAGAGTCTTCCCTGGGACTCCTCAGCTCCCAGTTCCCCATCCAGTCTGCTGAACCCTGTGGTTGAGGTCCCTGTCCTCTCAGTGACCATTCTGTATGGCTGCTGTCAGTGATAGGGCCTGGACGTTTAACCTGTGTGTAACATAGACCTTCCCTGTTAAAATCGGCTTGTCTTAAAGGTTGAGCCATAGTTTTCTTTTTATTCTGGAATAAAATGGGCACACCCTACATATATGGTTTTAGGCCTTAGGGATAACCCTTGTACTGGATAGTTTTGTGTCAGCTTGACACATGCTAGAGTCATCAGTTAGGAGGGAGTCTCAATTGGGAAAATGTCTCCATAAGATCTGGCTGTAGGCAAACCTGTAGGGCATTTTCTTAATTAGAAATTGATGGGGGAGGAGCCAGCCCATTGCGGGTGGTACCATCCTTGGGCTAGTGGTCCTTGGTTCTATAAGAAAACAGCTGAGCAAACCATGAGGAGCAAGCCAGTAAGCAGCTCCCCTCCATGGTCTCGGAATCAGCTCCTGCCTCCAGGTTCCTGCCCTGTGTGACTGCCTTCAGTGATGTGGAAGTGTAAGTCAAATGAACCCTTTCCTCCCCACGTTGCTTTGGTCATGGTGTTCATCACAGCAATAGTAACACTAACCAGACTGCCTTTGCGTTTAGAAGCAGTCAGGTAACCATATGAGAGGTGACTTCGCCAGCTGCACGCAGAAGCCACAATAGTCCTCTAGGGGCTTCAGGTGGTGGTCAGTGTCTCTGGACCAGGTCCGTGAATGCTGATCTCATAATTTCTCAGGAGACATTTACAGTCATGAGCACTGACTGTCAGAAGGCAGGGCCAGGGGAGACCCCTCAGAAAACAGACAGTGGTCCCCACTAACTTCAAACCACATGTGTCTATCCTGTCACTCACCCATGCCCCAGCCTCTGCACCACTTTTCACTGAGGGGAGCACATCATCCTCCCATTCACTTCCCATGGTGCCTAGAGGCGCCCCGCACTGACTAGAGTTTCAGCCCCATGCAGATCTGCAGAATTACAAGTTTGATTAGTAGGGCCGTGGTGGTGCAGAGAGCATTCATTTCTCACCAGCTCCCTAGTGACAGTGCTGTGGCTCCGGCCCCCCCGCCGGGGGGGGGGGCCCCCCCCTGCCGCTCCCTTCTCTTACATATCACTGTAGTTTGCCCAGCACAGGTGTTTGCTTGCTGCGTTCATGTTACAGTTACATGTTCTATGAATCAGTTTAGGAAAGTTAGGTTTGGGAAGAACACTGGCCAGTTACTTTAAGATGTGATTTCCACCAAGAACACTCTTGGGTCATGAATTAAGGGTCCTAGAAAATCGAGTGTGCGAAGTTCATCTCTTCTCCCTCAAAACCCAGAGTTCCTTACCTTTCTCAGGCTTCCCCGTGGGGTGGGAGTGTCAGCACTGGGATCTGGAAAACAGTGTGACACCAAGGCATCACATCTACTGTTTCTTGTTTTTCTTTTTATAAAGCAGGGACTCATTGTGTAGACCAAGCTGGCCTCACAGAGGTCTATCTACCTGTGACATTTGCCACCACACCCAGCAGCTATGCTTATTTTAAAACATGCAAACCTGAGATTCCAGGCTTGAGGACCAGAGTTCCCATCCCCAGAACCCATATAACATCTGGGTGAGCGTGGAGGCTGTCTTGATCCCTTAAGTACCCAGAAGGTAGAGACAGGATCCCTGGGACAAACTGGCTCACTAAAACAGCTGGGCTGAGGAGGTCCAGACTCAGGTAGAGACCCTGCCTTAATAAAGTGAAGAGAGCTGGGGGGGGGGAAGAACCAGTGTCAGATTTGCCCCCCCACAACCTCACATGGACCCACATCCATATATGCATGCCACACATGCAAAGAAGGAAAAAAACACAACGTCCCTAGATTATGTCTGGTTTGCAGCCCTTCCCAAGCCAAGGGATGTGGACTTGAATGCAGAGGAGTACTCTGACACTCAATTTTCCTCATTAGCCATTCACAGCTTGTCAAAACTACAGCTGGACTGTCTGTCAGCAGTGTCTTCTAAAAGACTCTCCATTCTGTACCGGAGAGTTCTGAGCACTGTGTCATTGTGAGGAGGAGACAGTCAACACTGTCATCTCTTCCAGGGTTGCTATTGTTGCTGAGCTGGGGTCACAGGCTATGTGCAGACTTGGGGTTACTCATCAGTCTGGCCTACGAAACATTTTATTTGCATTTTATGCATTGATTCTTCAAAGTCACTCAAAGAAGTCTTTTTGTCTTTTTTTTTTTTGCTGTTTATTTTGTTTGGGCGTGCATGTGTGCATGAGTGCGTGAGTGTGTGTGTGTGTGTGTGTGTGTGTGTGTGTGTGTGTGTGTGCGTGCGCGCGCGCGCACTCGCGCACACACTCGAGAGCATGTGTGTGTCATAGGTAGCCTAGACTTTCCTCAAACTCACAATCCTGCCTCAGCCTCTAAGTGCTGAGGTTACAGGTGTGTACCATCATGCCTGGCATAAAAGGTCATTCCCATTCTCGAAACTGAGATCCAGAGAGATTAAATAGTTTGTAAAGATGGTAGTGAGACACACAGATTGACACATGACCTCAGTGGCACTGGATAGCCAGCACTGCCTGCCTTAAACAGTCCGTGTATAAAAAGAGTTATGTGTATCCTGGGGAGCCTGGGCTTGCAAGCATTTGCTGAAGACGGAGTGGTGGACAGAGGATGGTGGAGAAGAATAGGCTAAGAAGGGTTTTTTTAGGAAATGTTATTTCACGTAGTTCAGCTTTGTAGAGCTTTCTCTGATAGCTAGAATAGAAGGCAAATTTAGAAGCTATGGAATCCACCCATAAGCCCAAGACGCCTTTACCTGCTTCCCTGAGGCCTTCACCTGCCTCTGTGCCCACTGTCTGCTTCAGCAGTGTCTGCAGGAGGGCAGTCCTCTCCAGCTCCCCCAGAGCCAGGCGAGCATCTTCTTCAAGCACTGTGGGATAGAGACAGACAAGTAGCCCTCCCTGCCCTTCACCTGGCCATCTCTGTTCCCTGTCTTTGTTGAGTACCATCCAGAGCCAGGCGAGCATCTTCTTCAAGCACTGTGGGGTAGAGACAGACAAGTAGCCTTCCCTGCCCTTCACCTGGCCATCTCTGTTCCCTGTCTTTGTTGAGTACCAGGACAGGGAGGTGGGTCATGGAACTCCAAATGAGGAGCTCTCGATATCTCACGGTGGAGTGTAGCAGAAACAAAGGTGCTGCATAAGCCAGCAGGAGACTAAAGGGAGGAACTCGTGGACCGCCACAGCCTGCTATCGTGGCCACCCTACCGCCAGCTGCCTTGGACAGGAGGGGGAGGCAGTGGCCCAAGACCCCCAGTGCCCGTTTGGCTCAGAAAGTCTGGTTTGTCTCATCTCCACTGACCCATTGCTACCTGCGGCCCCTTACCTCTGAGGTGAGTGAACGGGAAGCAAAAGAAAGGCTGACGGCCCTTCAACTGCACCTCACAGTGGGGTTCACTTGAGGTTTCCAATGCTGCATTGTGACTTGTCCTGTGTGAAATGTGACTGACACCCAAGGTGTATGGAGTGTGTATAAGAGAGTGAAATGTGGTACATGCATGTAAGGTACGCATGGTAAGTATAGGACACTTGGGGCGTGTGCTATGTGCAAACTGGTGAGTGTGTGGTGTGAGGTGTGTGTGCACCCAGCAAGCGTGGCGACTGTATGTGAGGAGTGAGCAAGTGTGGGGCGTGTGCCTGAGACGTGCACACAGTGTGTACACTGAGCACATGCTGCATGCAAGGGGTGTGGTAAATGTCTGGGTGTGTGTGCCAAGTGCGTGCACCAGAGGAGGCTGGCAGTGGGACATGTGTCTTGGGTAGGTACCAGCATGTTGCTTCTCCGAGAGTCTGGTTGGAAAGCCACACACGACACTGGAATGCTGCAAGCTGACAAACACGCATGTGCAGCCTTCATGGGAAGACTAGGCAAAGTGTGTGTCATAACAGCACGTGGGTGCACTCACAGTATTCCCTGGGAGTACTGATGATAACCTTCACACCCCCAGAAGGTGGAGATGTCTGCGCCGAGGGTGTTTGTGGAGGGGCCAACCTGAGGGAAAATTCTGACCAGAACACTAATCTCCCACCTGTTTGGAACTTGAGTAAGAGGCTGCCCTGGTTTCAGTTCTTCCATTGTAGACGTTTGAGCTGGCGTCAGCACCTGAATACCCTTCATTTCTTTTTGCAGTGTGTACTGGCTCTTCTAAAATAACAGAATCGGCTCCTGTCCGGCTTTGACCCACAGGCTCGGTGCCAGAGTGAGCTCAGTGACGCCAGAAGCTGATTGACAGAGTGTGAGTGATACTCAAAAATGATCAGAATGCTGGCGAGAGGACGGCACAGAACAGACTAGAAAGTGTCTAGTTCTCACAGCAGTGGCTTGGGAGAGAACCTACGTAAGAAAATGTCTGAAAGTACCCAAAGGCAGGGTCAGGGAACTGGCACCACAGAGGAAGGCGCTTGCCACCAAGCCTGCCCACATGCTGGAGAGCCAGCTCCATCCGGTCGTCCTCTGACCGCCATGGGGTGTGCATGCATGTATGATAAAGCGTAAAGGAGATTTTGCTTTAAGTAGCCAAACTAAATATTAAATCCAGTCAAATTTTTATGGACTATAATACAATAACCTAATGCCAAATTAAGGGGTTGTGGTAACATTTGTATTTTTTCTTAAATTTAATTTGGACTTGAATAGAAAATCAAGTCATAAAGAAAACATAAACACATTGGTTGTCTATGAGGCCCCCTGCTTCAGCTGCCACTGTGCTTAACTAAGCCTTTTTGATTCATGCAACATGGATGATTGTTTTCTAGCTCATATGATAAAATAAGGACCCTAGAGAAGACCGTGACCATTGATAAATCTAAGGCACACAGTCAGGGTCCCCTGATCCTCTCTTCAGAGCATGGTCACACCTACAGCAGACCCCCATTTAGCCAGAATCCCTTCCTACTCCTGAGTGGCACCTAGAACTGATACCAAAAAAACCCAGTCACCTCACCTGGAAGCTGAAGGGTCTTTTCACCGGTGTCAGTGACGGGAAGGGACAGGAGTGGGTTCAGGAGTCCTATGAAGAGCAGGCAGCAGAAGGCTAGCCTATCCATGATGACGGAGAGCAGTCCTGCTGGGCTTCTGCTCCGGAAGATTTCTGACTCTCTCCTCATCGAGGGATTGCCCGTTTTATCTATCATCCTGTGACCTCAGATGTCCCCTCCAAAAAATAAAATGAAATTATTGGCTAGGGAGGCTAAAAGGCAATCACTTTGCATTGATGTAATTTTTCAAAGTAACAATTCATAGACAATAAATTTACTGGCTTGTGGGCTGGTGTACAAAGTGGGTACTCCGAAAAGTACTGCACAGTTTATAAATCTGGCAAAATAAGGAACTCGGCCATAAATCACAAATGAAAGACAGGGAGAGACATGATGTGGCCAAGGCAGAAGGACAAAGATTTATGAGTCGTAGAAAAAGTGATTCGGGGTATGACGTGAAATATGACGGCTTCCTTTTTAAAAAATCTTTCACTTGTGAATAGATGTGTTGTTGTGTTATATTAAACCGTTTTGAAACAGCAAAGACATGTAGCAAGCGTGGCTCGGAGCTCAAGTATGGACTTGGCTTCTTGTAAAGTCATGAGCACTTGAGTCTTAGATCCAGGTTTCCTGAGAGCAGGACGACACTGATCAAGGAGAACTAGAATACCTCTCCATGCTACCTGGCCGGGATCAAGCCTGGGCAGCGGCTTCCCCAAACTCCACTCAGCCCAGCAAAGCTGCTGCTTGAGGCCAGTTCACATTGCCTCAGTTCTCTGCTTACAAGTGTGTGAGAGTACGTGCGTGCGTGCGTGCGTGTGATAGTAGCAGCAGTAACCGCAGCAGCAGCAGCAGCAGCAAACTGGTCCAACATGCCACAGCCTTAAGCAAGAAGATCCCAAATTTAAAGCCAGTCTGAACTACATCTATGAGTCTTCATTGAACCATAGTAGCAGCAGTAACCGCAGCAGCAGCAGCAGCAGCAGCAAACTGGTCCAACATGCCACAGCCTTAAGCAAGAAGATCCCAAATTTAAAGCCAGTCTGAACTACATCTATGAGTCTTCATTGAACCCACAGGTACCAAATTTTAAACCTAAAACTCCAGCTGAGTCTGTAAGTTAGTGGATGATAGATACAAGAAAATGGCAGTAGAAGACAAGAGTCAACCCAAGACTTGTATGGGATAGGTATGGAATATTACAAAGCTGAAGGTAGATTGTTTCTCGTTTCCTAAAATACTGTGCCATAGTCTAGGGATGCAGCACAGTTGGAATGCTTGCATGAGGGCCTGGGTTCAGTCTTAAACATAAGCCAGATATGGTGATGTGGTAATGCCCACATTTGGGAGGCAGAGGCAGGTGGATTTCAGAGAGGCCAGCCTGATCTACAGAGTGAGTTCCAGGACAACCCCGGGCTACACAGAGAAACCCTCTGTTAAAAAAAAATTAAACTAAAAGTCTATGACAGCTGTGTTTGCATATATGCAGTCTGCACACACATGCATGCAAATCCTTCGTGTTCTGCCGTTGCCAACAGGTGGGGGAGCGGCCCACCAGTCTAGGGGTCCTTGGTGACCCTTGAGGACAGTTGTGGGAGGAAGAAGTGAAGTCACCCTTTTCCCTCCCCCAGAGGCTGGTTGCTTGCCAAGCTTTGTCATTCCCTGGTGACTCAGGGGTCCTCCTGACAGTTATTAGTGACGGTTTTACTGCATGGCCTAATTAAGTTATGGAAGGCCTAGGCCTCAATGAGAATTAGCATCTTTTTCAATAGGCTGTCAATGACAATGTCACCTTGTCCCAAAGAGCTCTGAGCCTTCAGCCCCCACAGTCGGGGTGTGAAGGTGTATAATCATTAATTGTAGATGCTGCTCTCTGAGAACCTTGTCCATCAAGATGAGGCCTCACAGAAAAGGGGCGGGAAAGGTCACCTGAGAGCCCAACTCCTCCAGTCTGTCCCCCCACCACCAGCAGCTGACTGATTCTGTGCCCAGAAGTACTAGAGTGCAGGCAGTTGGCTTCAGGAAGGACCCCAACTATAACGGGGTGAGCCTCTTCGCTGATGCAGGTGCTTTGGGGTGACCCATGCTCCTGTTGGCTACCCCTCACTCATGCTCTTGTCAGCTCAACAAATTCATTGGTTCTCCAGGGTTAACTTGTGTGGCGCTGCAGCTTTGGTCTGTGCTTGTTGGGAGCACAGGCTTGTTCGCACTTCCCCAGGGAGAGTCAGAACTACACTACAAGAGTTATGGCTTCACATCCATGCTGGGACACCTGCAAATGGTGACCACCTCAAGCAGCATCATATCTTTAGCTGGCTGCAAAGGTCTTTCTTAAAACAGAGAGATCCGGGTGTGGTGGTGCATGCCTGCAATCCCAGCATTTGGGAGAGTGGCAGGAGAGTCACAAAACAAAACAAGATCCTAGACTACTGGCGCACAAAGAGACCTGTAATGTATCACAGCAAAGTAAGTCATTGTAGGTTTGCATTTTGGGTAACTGGTTACTGGTTATTCCCTCTACTGAAAATGTGGTCCACTAGACAGCTGTATAGCTAACTCATACCCCTACTTTAATGGGCAAATTTTATCTAAAACTGCAAACTGTATTTCCCATCCTCTTGCATATTTTCCCTCTCTCTCTTCCTCTCTCTCTCTCCCTCCCTCCCTCCTTTCCTCTCTCTCTCTCTCCCCCCCTCTCT